GGTTAGTGAATTTCTTCGTCATCGAGCTTTTTTCTTTTGCATTTTTAGTTCGATGCAGTTGAAATCTCACTTTTTCTGGTTTTCATGCAATAGTGTTGACATAAGTTCATCGGAATCATTTCTTCGCAGAAGGAACAAGCCGAGTATTAGTGTGCATTCCTTGGCGATGCTGCTCATGTGTTTATCAACGGAAAATTTTCAGGCATGTATAGTAGTATCTTATACTGAGTAATATTTTCAATAAATAAAAAAATGTACACATCGCTAATCGCTAACATGTTAGATTCTAATGGTGATGGCGATGGCATATCCAATCAAAATATTCTTAGTTGTATTCATTTTTGTTCTAGCACTAGGTATGTTACATTTTGCTTCTCTTGTTTATATTATGTATACGTTATTGTAAAAATTGAGTGAAAATGTTGTGTTATGAACTTTAGGAGGTTCAATAATTGGAACAATAGGAGGAGCTACCAAAGGACAAACCACATAAACTGGTTTTTTTGATGGAGCTTGCAGAGGAGCAATTGCAGGAGCCATTGCCGCCATAGAGTTTATGAGTTTTGCTTCCGTTGGCGAGCCTTTTTCCAAGAGAGTAGTTATAATTGCAAGCTTTAAATTTATTGTATGGTAGCGTAAATTTTGTTTTTGACCACATAAAATTTGTAACAGGGTGAAATATAAGAATTGTTATTTAATTGAAAAGAATTGTTATTTAATTGAATTTTTCAAATAAGTTATGGTTTAAATTTTTATATAAATAAAACATTATTAATAGCAGATAAAGAGTATATACAATCTTCGAAGTTATTTATTATCTTTCAATGAATGCAGGTTAAAGGAAATGTTATTAATAAAATATTTTGGTCTCACCCTCTTATATTTAACAATAATTATAATATTTTAAATATAAATTAAACAAAATTAACAATAAAAATTAAAAAAATGAGAGACAAATTACCTGCGGAACTAAAGTTTGCTGCGACATTTCCTGCGAAATTTTCATTTACCTGCGTTTTTATCTGCGAATTTATCTATTTTACCTTTCCTGCGACTTCACCTGCTATATTAATTACCCACGAAGGTTTTAGCTGGGAAGAGAAAATAGCAGGAAGAATCGCAGGTAATATGTTTTCTGCGGAAATTTTGTCAAAATCCGCAGGTAAATCCGCAGGAAAACAGAGTATTTCTAGTTGTGACATATTTTTATATTATATATAATCCTTTTATTTATTTTGTGTATTAAAATATTTTGGTGGAATAATTAGATTATTATGCTAGAGATCCATTTATTAATTTGCAATTCAATTTTACAATTTAAAACTTGATAAAATAAAATAAAAATGCTGATTTACTATGCTAAAATTTTGTTAAGAGAAAAAAAATGTTTTAAACAAATTATGTTTTATAAGTATAAAATTTAGAAAAAAAATTATAAAACATGTAAAAATTATATATTTTTTAAAATTAAAATTGTTTTCTTTTTTGTATTAGTTTCATTTAATACACTTCTTTTTTTAGCAACCAAATTATGAATTTTAAATTCTTTTTATAAATTCCTTTTATAATTTTTATTAAAAAATATACAATTTTTCACATGGCAGCTTAATCACCGTGTCCTGTCATTGTTCAACTGTGCAAAAAACTCACATCCTACCCTCCACCAAGTTAGCTTACATTAACTTCTTATTTTTACTAAACTACCCCTAGAAAATGGCAATAACTTAGCTTGACTTGTCTGTTCCATTTTTTTGCCTCAGAATTATATTTGAGATTTCTATGAGCTGTAGGAAGGTGGAAACATAGCTACTCTTTAAAGAAGCGCCACGTAGTAAACTTGAGACTCATCTAGTTACCACAAAACGGGAACCGAATTCTGTCGTTCTATCGCCACTTGAATAGATTCTCAATCAAAGGTAATAAACGACAATACTTTTTGCTTTTCTTCACCGTTTTTTCATTTCGATGAGTTTTGTTTTCAACTATGTGTGCTTTTGTTTGAACATCTTGATATTCTATGCATACAATTACGCTCCTTGGTTGGTTTTGGATATGTTACTGGAAACTGGAAATGTGTTGTTGTTATTACTATTTGTAGCTATTAACTGTTTGATGAAATGTCTCAATGACTTTTGGTATCAGAAATTGCGCTTAACTTTAAACGGTGTATGTTTGAGGATATTGGGTTGAGGTTAGCTTAATGTTTGAGCATTTGAGCTTCTTGATAGTTTGTTATGATTTATGTAGCATCACGATCCCCCAAAGAGATAACAAATTATGATCTACAAGCTAATATTAAATGCAACTTTCTGGTGTATATAGCTACAGATATTTTACTCCTAGCTAAGAAAATTAATGTAAATGTAGCTATATATGGTGATCACTAATAGGTGGCTACAGGTGCATAGTTCAATAACATAACATGAACGGAAATTAATGCATGGAATTCCTGCACCACTTTTCGACCAAATGAATAAGACTAACAGGCCAAGAATATATTCGAACAGAGTACATTAACATACTATGAATGACCGACTTTACGAGTTGAATTCTCCCAGCTATAGACAAGAGGCTAGCCTTCCATGCTGCTAGTTTACTTCTGACTTTGTCAACAATAGGCATAAAATGAGCAACTTTAGGCCTTGCTTTGAAGATGGGAACCCCCAAATAAGTGAAAGGCAGCTGACCAATTAAAAAACCAATTCTGTTGGCAAGCATAGAATGCCTAGTAGGCGACATAGACCCAGCGAATATAAAGGACTTAGAAGGATTGCACACTGTCCTGAACAGTCAGCATATCTTTTGAATAGCACAGATAAAGCATCAAGAGAACTAACACTCCCTTAGTGAATAACATGATATCATCGGCATATAAAACGTGCGAAGGAACCGAAACACCCTGACAGGCCTGCATAAGCTTTATCTTACCGTTAGAAACCAGCTGAGACAAACCTCTGCTAAGCACATCCTCAACTATGCAAAGCAGTAACAGAGACAACGGGTCTCCCTGCCGAACACCTCTGTGACAGTTGAAGAAGCCATGAAGCTCTCCATTAATAGAAATTGAAACTTTAGCTGAATGAAGAATTCTTTTTATCCAACTACAAAAAATATCATTGAACCTAAACTTTGCAAGCACCTTCAAGAGAAAATTCCAATCGAGATTATCAAACGCCTTAGAAATATTAACCTTCAACATTACGCTCCCTCCAATAGTTTTCTTGTGCATAACGTTTTCCACCTCAGATGTTAAACAAATACAGTCCTTTATGCTCTTATCACAAAGCCCTTTTGTTCCTTCGAAATGATATGAGGAAGAATCTAACCTAACCTGTCTGCCAAAACTTTGGTTATAATTTTAAGCTTGAAGTTTGCTAACGCATTTGGTCTGTAATGATCAATACTCTAAGCCTCCTTTATCTTCAGAATCAGAACAACAGTGTTCGTATTATAATTGGAAGTAATTCATCTATCCTTGAAAAATTGAAGAGTGGCCTTAATGACATCATCCTTGATAGTCTTCCAATATGTCTGATAGAAAATGGGGCTGAAACCATCAGGGCCAGCAGCGCTGTCTCTCTTTAAGCTAAAAACAACATTGTAAATTTCTTCTTCAGAAAGCATCATTGTAAGAATGTTGTTGGTCTGCTCATTTACTAGGTTAGGAATAAGTATTCTAATTCTCTCTTGCACCAATTAACACTAGACAATTACCAATTATGGCTTACAACTTATAACAACCATGGTGACATTCCCAACATAGTAATAGTTGTATATTGTGGTAAAAGAAATTATACTAATAAGACCACAATAGGAAGTACTATAGTAAATTGTAATTATGGAGCATCTTTACTCGTGTTTGATAGAGGTTAATACAATCAATTGTTATTCTTGCAGGTTGAAGTACAAATTTGAACTCATTTTCGGTGTCGAGCAAAGCTATTGATTTTGAAATTTCAAGGTAGGTACTACTTTATGACTTAAATATGTTCCTATTATTTAGTTATTAAAATAGAAAACTTACTGAAACAAGTATAAATAATATAATAATCATAATGCCTTGAAATTTTTATTACTAGAATATAAAAAAATCCTTGGAGCTACGTTGGAAATGGAAATTCCTCCGCATCGAACATGGATGTACTTCTCCCTGGCCAGAGTGCACATAAGAATTTTTAAAAGGTGTCGAAGAGTTTATAAACTTCGCTTGTCAACAGAAAGAGTATTTGAAGAATGGTATAATAAGATGTCCATGTAAGTTGTGCAAAAATGAGGACCACCTCACCCCAGATGAGGCAAGCACTCATATTCACCAACATGGGTTTGCACCAGAATATTGGAATTGGACCTGCCATGGAGAGATAATCCCTCACATCAATGATAGTGATGATGATGATTATATAGATATGGTTGCACCTTGTAGTAATAGTCAACAGTGGAGTTATGAACATGTTCATAGATATCAAGACATGGTGTTTGATGTTGCCGGTTTTAATCGCGAACAACATTTTATACAACAAGAAGAGGAACCTCCAAATATGGAAGCAAAATTATTTTATGACATGTTGTATTCAACTCAACAACCATTGTGGCCAGGATGTAAAAACACAACTGAGTTATCTGCTGCTATTAAGATGTTGAGTTTAAAATCTAAACACAATATGTCACAAGCATGTTTCGATGACATGGTCAAGTTTATGAAGGAATCAAGTCACCCAGAGAATGTAATTCCCTCTAACTTTAGGGAAACAAAAAAACTTGTGTCTGGACTCGGTTTATCAAAGATAAAGATTGATTGTTGCATTGGTGGGTGTATGTTGTATTACAAAGAGGACATAAATTTGAATGAGTGCAAGTTTTGCAATGAGCCTCGATACAAAACATGTATTCTGCGTAAGCATAAGTGAAACTCTAAAGATGTTCCTTGCAAGAGATTGCATTACTTGCGTTTAATCCCTCGCCTTCAAAGATTATATGCTTCGGTGAGATCCGCAGAGCACATGAGGTGGCACTATGAACATCGTAGGGAAGAAGGTGTGTTGTGTCATCCTTCAGATGGGGAAGCTTGGAAACACTTTGACCAAGTATATCCTGCATTTTCTTCGGAACCTAGAAATGTTAGACTTGATTTGTGTGCTGATGACTTTACCCCTTTTTGCCAATTTGTAAAACCATATTCTTGTTGGTCAGTAATTGTCACACCATATAACCTACCTCCTGAGCTATGTATGATGATGCCTTATATGTTCTTGACCTTGATCATTCCAGGTCCAGACAATCCAAAAGGTAAAATTGACGTGTACTTGCAACCGTTGATAGACAAATTGAAACAATTGTGGAATGATAGTGTAGTAAGATATGATGCATCAAAGAAGCAAAATTTTCAATTGAGAGCTGCACTAATGTGGACATTAAATGATTTTCCTGCCTATGGGATGTTGTCTGGGTGGAGTACTGCAGGAATATTTGCTTGTCCAGTATGCAAGGGAGGTTTAAAAGCTTTCTCATTGGAAAAAGGAAAAAAGAGATCTTGGTTTGATTGCCACCGTCAATTTTTAACTCGTGATCACGCTTTTAGAAGAAATAAGGTTATGTTTTACAAAAATAGAATTGAGACAAGAGAGCCTCCTCCAAGGTTAAGTGGTGAACAAGTGTGGAAAGAGGTTTGTGGGCTTCCTAAAGTAACTAACATGCGGAATTGCATTGTTCCTGGTCGTGGAATTTCACACAATTGGACCAAAAGAAGCATATTTTGGGACTTGCCTTATTGGAGACACAACTTATTGAGGCACAATCTTGATGTTATGCATATAGAAAATAATGTCTTTGAAAATGTTTTTCATACAGTTATGGACAACAAAGAGAAAACTAAGGACAACGAAAATGCAAGATTGGACTTGGAAAAGTATTGTCATAGAAGAGAGTTGTTGTTGAAAAAAAACTCTAATGGGAACTATATGAAACACAAAGCCAAATATTGTTTATCGAATGAACAAAAAATTGATGTGTGCGAATGGGTGAAAGGATTGAAGATGCCTGATGGTTATGCTTCTAATTTGGGTAGATGTGTAGATTTAAAGCAAAAGAAACTCTTTGGCATGAAAAACCATGATTTCCATATTTTTATTGAATGTCTACTTCCAATAGCTTTTAGTGCTCTTCCCGAACCAATATGGAAGACCTTAACCGAGCTTAGTCAATTTTTCAGAGACTTGTGTTCAACAGTGTTGCGAGAAGATCATTTATTACAAATGGAAAAAAACATTCCTTTGATATTATGTAAGATGGAGCGTATATTTCCACCCACATTGTTTGACTCTATGGAGCACTTGCCAATTCATTTAGCTGATGAAGCTAAGATGGGTGGACCAGTTCAATATCGTTGGATGTATTCGTTTGAAAGATTTTAAAATAAAATTAAACAAACAGTAAAAAACAAAAGAAATGTGGAAGGGTGTATCTGTGAAGCATATTTGGTGCAAGAGACATCCTATTTCAGTTCCCATTATTTTTTGCCTCCTGCTCAATACTCGAGTGTTATTGGCATAAACAAGGGGATTCATCAAGACCATATGCAACCAACTTTGTCTATCTTTGAACATTTGAATGGCCAAACAACGGGAAAATATTGTGAAAGGTGGCTCGAGGATAGAGAAATGGAAGCTGCACAACTACACGTTCTCTTAAATTGCAAAGAGGTTAAGCCATTTATTGAGTAAGTATTGAGCAATAAATATATCTATATTTTATTAAACTAATAATGACATTAATTTTTAATAATATCTTATGTAGTATGTATGTCCAAAGTTTGAAAAGTGTGTATGGGGATGTCAATGACGATATCATTGATAAACAACTAGAAGCTGACTTTCCGCGCTGGTTTCAAAAATACGTAAGCATATTTATAAAGTTTTCAATTCTAGGATATTTGGGCTAAAATGAAGATGTAGAATTTGCTTTTAAACTAAGATGTATGAATTGATTTATTTGGCTAGGTGACGATGAATTGCAAACATAAGAGACAAAATTCTGACTTGTATGATTTGGGAAGGGGCCCTTTGAGACTAGCGAAATCTTGGCCTATTTATTTTGCAAATGGATACAAATTTCACACAACTTCTTGGGGTGAAAGAAAAACAACCTATAACAGTGGGGTGTGTGTTAGTGGAATAGGACAAGATGAAACTTCAAATGACTATTATGGCATTCTTACAGAAATTCTAGAATTTCAATGGCCAAGTCAAACAACAAAAAAGTTGGTTTTATTTTACTGTGATTGGTTTGACCCTTCAAGACATGGGATGCGAATACATCGTCTGTACAAGATTGTAGAAGTTCGTAAGGGGAGAAAATATAGTAAATTTGATCCTTTTATTTCCAAAAGCTACAACTCAAGTTTATTATTCACCTTATCCTGGGCGCCCAAGAGATAAGGTTGATTGATTGGTAGCTATAAAGACAAAGCCAAGAGGTTGTTGATGATAGGCACACATTAGAGGTTGCTTTTCAAGTTCAAGAGTCATAAGTTAATGCAACAATTGAAGATGACCCAATTGATCTCCTACAAGATGATGAAGTTGATGGTGAAGAGGTTAGTTTGTCAACAATACAAGAAAATGAAGATGAAGAGGATTCCAATGACGATGATGAAAATTTTTAAACATTTACTTGACTTGTAGACAACAATCACCTAGAATATGTTAGACTTATTATGGCGATCCTTTGCCTTCATGCATATATATTTCATATCTGCATTATATGTCAAAATTACGATGGATAATACAAGGAAGAAAATAAAATATTAATTGTCATGAATCATATGAAACTTTGTCATTCTGTAGCTTAGGGATGTAATCTACAAGGAAGATTTTATTGGTCATATTAAGAGAATAAATGAATGAAGAACCCCTATTTTCAATGGTCGTATTAAGAGAATAAATGAAAATCAGTACTAAACACGTACCATATAGCTGAATCTTTAGATGGTCGCTGTAGTCTTTTTGACTGATCACCAATCCACTCTTTCCTCATTTTATTCCATGCTATCTTAGCTGCATGAGAACAAGAATATAGTTGAGAATATTCTAAGAGGCCTAAAACTGGACTGCATTTGACAGAGGAAAAATCAATCATTAAGAAGAGTCTCACATAAGTCAACATCAAAATACAACAATTTTTAAAAATATATTTCATATTATCATGACTCATGGCTGCTTTAATTATGTTTAAAGCAGCTTTAGAGCATGTTTAAAGCTAGTATTCAACTACTGTCCTCTTGATATTCTTGATGCATTCACCTATAGTCCCATTTTCTTGAAGTTCATAATTCTTGCCATAGCAGAAAAGAATGAGAATAATAAGATGGTATCAACTTGGTTATCTTCTCATAGAAATACTTGTTTCATGGATGATATAGCAAGTGACTTAATAATATAAAATGTTGCTGAGTATTGTAGAAGTTATAGTAGTAGACATAATGGTTGCTACAAGGAACTTTTGATTTTCTTAGCTCGACATTTCTTCGGGGAAATACCGAGATATTAAAGTTGCTGATTATTACGTATCTGTTATGTCACTTACATTGAAAATCCAAGTTAGTCTTCTTGTTCTATTGTATGGTGGGACTATAAAGGTATAGTGGTTCAATTGTTTGCTGAAATGACTGAACTAAAAGGGTAAATCTTGTTGCATTTTTCTTTGATAGGGGAAAAAGACTATTCAAGACAAGTATTAATTTGAATATCTTGATTTGTTATCTGGTAATATGTAGGCAGGGTGGATTGTGAGGTTTTATTATTAAGAGTTTGTTTATGTTCTTAAGGGGATATATTTGGTTATTAGAGAAGTGGGGTTGAACATTGCCTTATATTTTGCATTGATGGAATTTGTTATTGTTGAAATTTGGTTCTGATTTCTAATCTTGGTATATTTATTAATCTAATTTTTGTCTTTGTTTTTTTCAGCCTGGTCACTTTAACAGTAACAAATCAAGATATTCAAATTGGTACTTGTCTTGAAGAGTTTTTACTTTATATCAGCTTAGCTGTAAATACATTTAATTGTTCTACTTTTGCCTTGCATTTTGCAGTAGAAGAATGGAGGAAACTGTCATTATTGAACACCAACATAACACTCTGACAAAAGTAGCTGCATAGACATATCAGAAGAAGAAGAGAGGACCATAACTAAAGTATGATACAAAATTCATACTCTTTTTATTATTCTGAGCAAATATAATTTATATAAAGAACCTTTTATTTCATAGGCATGCAGCAGATAACTCATTAATCTATTTACCATTCATAAAGCAATTACCAATATTATTTTGTTACTAATATTATTTTGATTTTTCACTCTTATTTTTTAGGTTTTGTATTTCTTTAAATTCTTGCAAGATGAAGTCACTTAAAAAGTCCAAGAAGAAGAATTATGGAAAAGGTCATATATCTACTCAACATGAAGTCATCCAACCCCAACCTCTTCCTCATCTTATTCAACCCCAACTTACTCAACCTCAACTCACTCAATCTAAACCCCAACCTATTCCTCATCTCATTCAACCTCAAATCCAACCTATTCCTCATCTCACTCAACCTCAACTCACTCAATATCATACTCAACCTCAACCCCAACCTATTCCACATTCAAGTAGGCCTCAACTCACTCAACTCCGACCATAACCACAACCTATTCCACATCCAATTCGACCTCAACTCACTCGACCACCATCTAGATCTATATCCCAATCGCATTATTCTCAACCTCAACACAATCAACCTCAACCTCAAAATCAACCTCGTCCTCAATCCACCCAATCTCACCCTTTACAAACTCAACCCCAACACAATCAACCTCAACCTCAACCTAATCAACCTCGTCCTCAATCTCACCCTTTACAAACTCAACCCCAACACAATCAACCTCAACCTCAACCTAATCAACCTCGTCCTCAATCCACCCAATCTCACCCTTTACAAACTCAACCCCAACACAATCAACCTCAACCTAATCAACCTCATCCTCAATCCACCCAATCTCACCCTTTACAAACTCAAACCCAACACAATCAACCTCAACCTAATCAACCTCAATCTCGACCCATTCCTTCTCAAACCAATCAACCTCAATCACAACATCAATCTCGACCCATCCCTTCTCAATTTATGGTCGTTGAAGCCCCATGTTCATCTAGCCATGCTAGTGGAGACATCGTTGGAACTAGAATCCCAATAGTTCCCGAAGGTGATGGGTGAGTCTCTTACTTGTATATAATAGCTAATAAAAGATACTATATTTTATATGTAACATTACTTTCTCCATTTAAGTAATATTTGTTTTTTTTAAATGTCTCTTTTTCAGATTTGATCATCATAAATTGGTAGTTTCAGAAATGGCTCACATCATACGTACTCATTTGAATGAGGGAAAACCGTCATGGAAGAAATTATCAAAAGAGCAACGAGATTCTTTCTTTGATCTATTTAAGGTAATTAAATCTAAAGATGGGGCTTCATGTTAGAAGCATATTGAAATATTAAGTAATTAATTCATGTTATTTTGATACAGCAAAAGTTTACATGGCCACCCGAGCACAAGGTTATAGTGCGTCGCAACTTTGAAAAAAGAAGTGCAGCTAAGATGTCTCAATTAATGCAAGATGTTCGGAGAGATTTAGAGTATAGGCCAGAATGGATGGGAGAGGAGGTGTGGAAGAAACTAACGGTACATTGGAATTCCTCCAAGTTCAAAAAAGTATCTACAACAAATAAAAGAAATCGTTGTTCTATGGATGGTGCATCTCTTCACATTGGAGGATCTATTCCTCATCGTTTGCATTGGAAAAGAATGGTATTATAATTTTTCTTTATATTTCATAAATTAGTATTTATAATAAATGACATTATTATTTTGTAATTGATAGAAAAAGGAAAAGGGTGCCGATCCATCGTTAACTGAATTTTATTTCCGCACTCATCGAAAAAAGGATCAAAGTTGGGTGGGTGTTCACGCTGAATTTGCATATGTAAGTACTCCAAATCAATTTCTTAAAGAATGAATCTTAGAAAGTGTAAACCATACCTTCATTATTTTTCTCTGTGTTTTGCAGTTTACAATCAAATCAAATAAAAATATGTTGGGAAATTGGTTAGAGTTAATGTTAGCAACGAGCAATTATGAGTTTCTCCAATTAATGTTATGTGAATGAATTGCTAGTTCATTTAGTTGAATTTTTATTATGACGATTAACACTAGTTTGGAATTGCCTGGTAAAATATTAATTACTTATTATGTTTTTTTAAATCTTCTTTCAGGATGAATTTGAAAGGAAAAAGTTGATGATTTCTTCTCAAAATTCAACTGTTCGAGGAGAGGATGAAGCTGATAGTCAACCTACGGTTGAAATGCTGTC